AATAATAAATACGAAATGCAAATTGCGTAATAATTTTAGTCAAAGAAAATTAGATGTAAAATTTTTCACAGATAAAATACCAATAAATTCATCATTAATTATTCATAAATTAGTCAATAGTTAATACACAAATAACGGAACAAAAGAAGGCTGTGTTTTTAATTATCTACGATTTTTTATATTACGATTTTATAGATCTTTATAATATGCTTTTATTTAAAATAGAAGATTTGTTGAAGAATTTTTCTCGGAATTTTAGGAGACGAATGCCAGAATAGGCGAGGAACTGGATAATTTTTTAGCCGGAATTAATATTATTGTTTTAAATTCCCGAAAATCTAATGATTTCGTATTAAACCAAAGAGAAAAAGGATATTTACAATTAATTATGTCGTATGAATTAAATATTTCAAACGGTCGATGTGTCTTCGGCTAAATTTACTTTTCTTTCGACAGTCGGTCTATCTGTTATAGATTTAATAACAGTAAACGTAAATTAATTATATGGATTATTAAATTTTAGCGTTGTTGATATTCTTAATTCTGATCACTTTCGATTTCAACATTGCTCTGGTTCACGACTAATTGTGTTGTAAGTCGGATACATGGAAATATTCGTTATAGGCTATATTTCGATTAAAAGGACGTTTTTGTTGGATGGGCAGAGTTATTATAATGAACTATTGACGACTTTGTTAACTTCGGCTTTACCATGTGGAATGCTTAAGAAAAATATTTCTTTATTATCATTTAAGAAACAATAAATTTATCGGCAGTGTGAACGTTTAAAGAAAACAAAGAACCAAGGATTAAGAATGTTTCGTAAAAATAAAACTAGAAACTTATTGGACGAATACTAGAAATTAAATAAAAGCTAGAATTCGCTATGTAAAGCGAAGAATAAATTATTTTCGGCTAAAGTAAACTCACAACTACTGAGAAGTAAAATATAAAAAGAAATTTTTCATTAGTTAATAAATTTCGAACTAAAAAACCGTGTGAAAATATTATATCCATCTCGGATTGGTCGAATTATTACAGAGAGTATTTCGCTGGACCTAATACAGTAGTGTAATTTGATTTAAACAACAGTAATAATGTTTCTCTTATAGACAATCCTATCACTTAAGAGTAAATTGTATTAAAGATAAAATTTAAAAGGATCTTACATTTTATTTACACCAAAGTTTATGTTAATTACACTAAAGTAACGTTAATTTTTAAATATGTTTTTAATGTTATGTAATGTTAGCTTCTCGTCACGTGATCGTTGTAAATTTATTGTGTCGACGTGTTCGCGGCAGATTCTGCGCACTGATCTTTTCTTTTTTTTTTTATTACTCACTTGCGTAATCGTGATGGCGATGTAGTCATAGTTACTAAACGTATCTACTTATTTCGTATTATTTAAATTCATCACGCTTTATGGAAGAATTATTTAAAACCTCTACTTTCTGTCCAGGAAAAATTGAGCTTTCGGTTACGTTACATTGCACGGGAGCATTGTAAGCTTATTCCATTAAGCATCGTTTTGCGCCAAATTTCGTAGTTTAGCGTGGTGTTTCTGTCGCTGTCTTTTGAAGTTTACTTGGATAAAGTTACTTTAACCTTTACTGCGTGAATCAACACATTGTGTATTATTTTTAAGGAATAAAATATCAAATGTTTACTGTAAATTTATAATTTGTTTCGCAATACGCTACTTCATAGAAAAAAAAAAAAGTTAAAAATATTTGATTTTCGGCAATTATCCAGAACTGATCTTTCTTTGAATATAATGCAGGTAAGTAAAGGTGTGTATTATATTTATTTATTTGTGCATGTAGTTAGCTAGAATTAATTTTGAAACATTATTCCTTGGCATTTATAAGCGTGTTATTTAGATACTTAGTACTCTTACGTAGAACAATGTCAAAGAGTATATAAAATTCCATCAGCGAGTCAATTCTTAGGTAGATTTTTCCACATTTAAAATATAATTACACGAAATTAAACGGAGGTGAGTAGAGAAAGACTAAGTATAACTTGGCGAGATTAATAGAAAAACAATTAATATTACTCGATATTAAAAGAATTTATGTTTCGTCAATCTGTTTGATTACTGTGGTTTAGTGACTATGTATACCGTTGTAGTATACGTTACTTCGTTTTACTATATTAGAAAAAGTAGGTCACACAACGACCATTAGACGGATGACATTGACTGTCGGCTTTTCCGAAGTGCAGCGGACCCTCTCTCGGAAGTCAATCTTCTTTTTCTCGTGCGAGCCAAAGATTAATGTTAATTATTTTAAATCAAATATCGGTCATAATACATGCAATAAATATAAGATAATACATGCAATAAATCTAAAGATGAATATGAAGAACAACCAATCCCATCAAGGAATATTTAAAGAATTTACGCTTTATCGATTTGTTTTAATTATTTTGGTGTAGTGGCTGTACTTAATAATATTTTAGCTGTGTTTATAACATGGCGACGGTCGCACGGACTACTCCCGTAGCTGCATTTTAATTTTTGTCGCTACGCAACGTCTTTTTGGGTTTGATAGCAGGGATCTCGGTACCTTTCGACTAACGGTTACTCTTACCGCTACCGTAAAACACTTTACTCATTATCTCCGATAAAAAGGGTATTGGAAATAACAATGATGATGGAGAAGAGAATTGTAAAATCATCTACTGTTTACCCATCGTGCCTATTGCGGGAGGGGTGGAGTTGGCGGAACGTATGTAATGCTAAGCGAACAAAACTTTTGTTTCGAAAAGTGATTATGACACATTACATGAACTATTATTAATATAATCGTCTACAATAAGCGAGTAATTTTATTTTTATCGCAATTAAGTAACAACAGGAAGAGACATGTTTTCCCGAGACATTTACGGCCGGATGTTTTGAATAAAACACTTTCTAGTCTAAATAAAGTCATTTTGCTTGAAAATTATTAACAGAAGATTAAAAAACGAAGTTTTAGCGTTTGCCTACGTTATACCTGGAAGGCATGCTTTGAAAGAGTTGGGGCAATTGGAGGGAACGTTACGTCTAGACTGCTCAGAAATAATGCCGATTCGTTGATCTAACCTGTCTCGTTATAGAAAACACCAATAACTGTGTAGGAGACGTTTCAAGGAGAACTGTAAAAACCAATTAACGGCAAGGAATTGCTTGGTAGAGTTACTGTAGGAAGGAGGAGGTTGAAGGGTATATTTATTGTTTAAAAGAGGTAACACGGACGACACTCGTTAGAGTAGAAGAGTGCTACAGAGGCAACGGCAAATCAACGGTTAAATCGCTACCAATTCAATTTAATCGATTAATAAGTGTTTTACCACTCGATTTCAAGTGTTTCTCGCTGAATAAATGAAATATCAAATACTCCTCAGTTTAAAGGCTTATTTAAAAATTAAAATATTGTTTTATTTAATTTGATCACGTCTCTTCTACAGAAAGTTGAACAACAGATGACCTTAACTCCTTTCCAGTGTTGTGGGAGTGGCCACAAGGATTTCATTGCAAACATGACAACCCTGACGTCATTTAACATCGTGAGATTCGTTACCTGTCAATTATATATTCTTGAATTTGACTCTCTGTGTAAAGTATTGTCCTTTTAGAAAAGAGGGAACAAGGAAGCGCGACCTTGTCGATTGGACCCACGTGCGGTTTGGCAATATACCACTTGTAAGGTGTTGACCTGTAAACAGAGGGAAAACAAAGGAAGCGCCGACTTTTTCAATTGGACCCACCTGTGTTCAGACGATAGACTATTTGTTATACGGTAAACTACTGAATGTAAACAAGCGGCGGACGTGTATGTAAGCTCCACTTCCGTCGGATAACAGCGGACGTAGGTCAAAGCCGTTCGGACAAGAAAGGTTTGTGATTAGTCGGAAGTTTCTGTCCAAAAAAACCCTTAAATTACGGAGCGAACGGGAGAGGGAGGAGAGAATTGCAAGAGACTGGTAGGCCTACACAGTAGTCTCAGGCATTTGGAAAGCTCGCTGAGCGTAGAGAGAGTGTTCTAATCTGGTAAACATCTCAGGAACGGGTTAGAGCGAAGACTGGACATACCGTACAGTTGAGCCAACTCCACAAGCTGACTGAGGCCTCTCCAAAGTTTAATAGTTCCCTGAAACCAATCTAGTACGCCAGGCACCATGCTTTGTTACCTGTATGTGCTATGTTTTCGAACTTGTACACTCTGCATATAGAATATAGAATCTGAATATAGAATACTCTATAATATGAGTGTGAAGGTGTGCTTTCCATCGAACCTGGATCAGTATATCGAATCGTGATACGCACGGAAATCAACTCAGCGAAGCGGATTTTGGGAAAGAGCTTGACTAAGATCTTCACTCGCAGATTGGGACAAAAAACGTCAAGACTTAAATACGTTAAACTTTAAATAATTATATAAAATAGAGAAAAAAATCGAAAAATTTAAAAAAGTCAAAATGGATGCAGGATGATAAAGGCATTTAATATAAATTGTAAAAAAATTTTACCCAAAAACTACCGCCTAAAAATCACAGAAATAATTATGCGATAATACAGAATTATTTTTTTTTTCTAGACGTAACTATTAAAAAATTCTTAACCAAAAAGGAAAATAATTAGAAATTTTCCCACGCTTATGGCTCACTGCAAAAGGTAAAAGGACAGAATCCGGAAGCACGCTCGTGTAAGGATAATTTGAGGTGGAGAGCTTACACCACATTTTGTTTCCGAGTGCCGAAAAGTGGAACACTCAGCGGCTCATTACATGTGCCCCGCATCGACTTGCAAGAACTCGTGGAACAACTAAAACGTAAGAACGCGTTTAAGCCAAAACCACTTTTTATTTGTGCACGTGTTATATTGTCACATCGGATGTGGATAATTCAGTGTTAAACGCGGTGCGAGAATATTATTTAGCCAATTAAAATAGTTTGCAAGGAATTATGTGAAAGTTAGTTTGAAAAAGAACAAAATCAGCTAGAATATTTGTATGCAGTGCAATTGAATTGATATTTTATTACTTTATCGTAAATTTACATCAAAAAATAATTTATAATGTTTTAACGAGAATAGCTACATTTTTCATCCGTGATTCCAAAAAGAATTTTCAAGAACGTTTCCAAATTGTCTGTGGTATCGGACAGAAGATTGTTTTCTAGATTCTTTACAATAGCTGCAACATTTAATTCTTGAATGGCATCGATAAAGTCACAATTAGTAACTCCATTACGGATATAGGAGTAAATTCCAAAAAGACATATGTATATCTTTTGTACATATTTCTCTATAAGATCATTTGTCATGTTGCCAACAAGTTTTATCGCCTCGTTTCCTGTTATTACAACTACTGCTGTAATACATCTTATCACTCTGGTTGCACTAGCAGAATCATTGGCGTAACAAATTTTCTTTAACACGCACGGGATGAGTTTAAAAATTGAAAGCCAGTCACTTCCGCTGTTTGTTTCATTTTTACAACTGAGATAAGGAAGCATGCTCGAATTCAGACAATTCAATAACCCAAACCTTGCATTCTGAAAATATCAAGAAACATTGAAATTTGCAAGATTTATGCGTAAAATTTCTAGTCAATGAAAAGAATTGTTAACATTAAACGTACAATAAAAATTTCCCAAACAACAGAAAGGATTGTTGGAAGAACATTAATTAAAATTTAGACTTAATTCATTAATAATAATGATTTATTAGCTGTTAACAGAAAGCCTTTAGAACAATAATATTTGATTTACTTTAAAAGACGTAAAATATAATTAAAACCGAATAGTGTTGTGATAATTATCTTAAATTTTTTTTCTAGTAATACATTTTTTAAATTAATGCGAAATAATGATGGTTTCAATTGGTTTTGTCATGATTAAGTACGAGGAAAGTTATTTCCTTTAATGACACACCTTGATCGCCACGAAATTACACTAAAAAATCCCCCGAAAACATTTATTAAAATATTGGTATACAAAAGTTTATAATGAATATTCTGAAATTAATTAAACAACAATTATAAATCCATTAATTGCCTTTCTTACAAAGGTTTATATGATATTTAGTACAAGAAAAGGTGGTATTATGGAACCACCCCATGTGGAACTGATAATAAAGGCGAACTGTAGCGGATTGTGGCTGAACTGCACTAAGCAGACAGCCATAGCCAGGGGAAACCCCGTTTCGCTTCAGTTAAACGGTTGTCCGTATTTAATCAGCAAATTTGTTTTTTTCAAAATTTGCAAGTTTTGAATGCTAATTTAATTTAATTATTTTTAAAATATAAATTGTGTAGTTGTAGGTTCACTGGCGCACATATTCCGGTTCAGAGACTTAAGGGTACTGTACTGTACAGTACATATTGATCTATGGGATGTTCACGTTTTTTAAAGTTTGGTGTCGACAGGAATTAAGTTAACCCAAGATGGAGATGCGTAAAATATGGACCCCATTGGTGCTTTTAATATGGAACTCAACTCCTCCGAACTCTCTCTTTGCAAGCAGACATTCGTCCGGAGAATTTGTGAAAAAGATACTAGGTAGAAAGCCAATTCTTCTCGAGAATATCGAAAAAGATATGCTGGAATATATATTGTCGATGGAGGTCATATTTTTCTATTATAAAAGCATTTTTGCGATAAAATACATTGGAGTAAATAATTTTGTAATTATTTAACATACTTTGTACTTTCCTATTTGTTTTTGGATACATTAAAGCATTTTTTGAAAACATACCGTAAGGTTCCGTACTACCACCCGGTTTTTTCTGAGCCTAATTTCTGACATTTTGTACAGAAGCCTTCAAAAACCATACTTATAGTTACACTAGTGAAAAATCAAACTAGAAACATTTAGTTTAATAGTTACCGGTACTTTTCGCACAAAAAATTTGGGTGTAGTTACGATACCTTGTTTACAATTCACTATAATGAAAATGGGGTTTCATAATACCACCTTCTCCTCTACATAAATGCCAGAGCTTTAGAAATAGCAAAAATAAACCAAGTTTCTATAATAACTAACTGTACTGCATACTAAAACATTACATAATATTAATTATTTATATTATTTTAGACTTTTTACTTACAGGACCGAATTCTTTCAACACAGCAGACAATTTTTCAGGTAAATTATTAATAATATCAGTGGACAATGACTCGACAACAGTTGACAGAACATTATTTACTACACAATTCCCGGGTTGATTTAGAATTAAACCTTAAAACATAAATTACGATTAAAACATAAATATTAATGTTAAAGAAAATTTTACAATAAATTCTCTGCCAGAAAAATATTCGGAATAAACAAATTTTACTAATCGGCAATAGAAAATGAATAATTAAATACTTAAGATGAGAAACGGCAGCAAGAACTTCATCATGATTGTACTTGAAACTTCAAGAGAGTGAGCAATTTCCAACTTCAATTAGCGATGACGAATTATCTTTTATAACTCTAACATATGTATTTCAACCACGTATAGTACAAGTACAGATTTGACGTCACATAGATGAACAGAGCGATATTTCCATCTGTTCCTGTTGTAAATTCCACACACGTTTTCTTCAAAATATTTTTAAATTAAAAAGTAAAATTATAAATTTCTTATTTAAATTTCGACGACAATTAAAATATTTATCTTGAAGTAAGCAGTATTTTTAAAATTTCCCATAGAAGTTACATACAAACGAGTAATTACTGTATTTATCGTGCAGTGGTCATCTCACCACGTCGGGCGTCAATTTTTACTCCTATTTTTAATTTATTTATTTTAAAATCTACGCTCTCCACTCACGTTAGTAGTGGCTGTCCTCTGCACCTCATACTTTTCCTATATCAATGAAGTCGTGACGTCTTCGATGTATTTCCTTACAGGGGGAAAATGTTTGAATTGAAATAACGTCACTCTCGATTTGTATGGGACGTTCCTGTATAGTTAATCGGGGTCTACGTCCCGACCCCTTCCATCTCTTGTCTTGGTTTTCATGAAACTGCCTCCGTTCAGGATACTAAATTAAGAAACGACACAGTCAGAGAAAATATATAGGTGTACAATTTTTATCAAATTGCTGCCCAATAATTTTGGAAAACCATTCTTTATACCGCTATTATTATCCATCTGACGATAATTTACAACAAATAAAATCAAACTTTACAAGAAATTGCCAAACAGGATGGCGTGTGCGTAAATCGGCATTCAGATAAACTCGCTTCATCCTTATTTAAATTGTTATGAAAATTATAATATTTTCATAACAATGAGTACTTTTTCTCAAGTAGAATCAGCCCATTTGCTCGTATTGTTGTTCTATATGTAATATGTCTTTTATGATGTCATCAGATGCTAAATACAGTAATAATATAGAAACTGTCAAGTTATATAACATTTTAACGTACATCTCGATGTTTGCGTAGATAAATTAAAAGTTTTCGCTGACATTTGACAGTGAAGAAAATGCAGTGATTAATTAATGTTTACACGACAATACAGAAGAAGTGAAAACGACAAATTAATTAAAAATGTATACGACAGTTTTTCAACAAGATTACTTGTATATTAGAAGGAATAAACAGTTTACTTTCATATGAAGCAAAATTGAATTTATAAATGATACGAATAACTTTTAAAATTTTGCTGTGATAAAAGCCGATTTGGCTGATTTAGCAGGAAATAGTGTGACCGGAGAATCGGCACCTCTTTAGCGCCTTGTCAGGACTGACACCCCCGTGTTCCGATGACACGGAAGCCGACACGGCGTGTTGATTCCGTATTAGAACGTTGGTCACGCGAGAGACCGCGTGTGCGGGCGATCAGAGGACAGAGAGGCAGCCACACTGAAGTAAAATACGAGAGTTAACAACTAAACTACCGTTTAGTAATCACAAAAAGAATTATGTGACCGGAGGGTCGGCACCTCTTCCATGCCTTGTCAGGATGACCGCACTGTGTCCTTTTCGACACAGACGTCGCGACAGCAAATTCGTTTTTGTTACTAGGTAACGCGAGCGGTTGGATGTGTGAGGCCTGGACGTCATCCCCTCCCGACGGAAAGCTGGCTGTCGAGTTAAGCCAATAAATCGCTGACTTTAGATCGGGAAACAAGCCCGGGGCTGTAAAGGAACGGGGTGTGAGACGATTTAGGCTAATTTTCGCCAAATAGATTCGTCCCCGATCGTAGATCGTGGAAGGGTGGAAAAAGATCGACCGCCGAATTCAATGATCATCTTTCACAGAGTTCAAAGAGGGAAGTTGAAACTGTAATCAAAGCTTTCTCTTCTGCAGCTGGGTCAAATAATTCCCAACCGCCTCCTCCTCTTTCGGAAAAGGCGGTTGGGACTGATTCGACCCAGCTGGGCCTTCTCCGAGTCAGAAAAATACATTAGACCAAAATTTACCAGACAGTCACTCGGGGAAGGACACGACCCGACTTCGGAAAGGTGCGACCCGGACAGGGATGTTCAGCAACCCCGCGGCCCGAATCGAGTCTCTGGCAACAGACCAGAGACCAATAAAGTTACAGAGGTCCACCGTTCGGACAAACCAAAACTTCGGGATTTCGGGTGAAAATCATATAAAAGCTTGAAATCTCAAGGACACGAGGAAGTTGTGAGTGGGAGATCGGGAGCGAGGCAGTCTGCTCTTAGATTCGACTGAGGTGAAGACCCAAGAGAGTATGGCAAGAGAGAGAAACTTAACTTTTCCGAGCACACTTCTCTACCCGCACTGGAGCGAACAGAGACCTAGCTTACTGTCGTGGATCTCTAATCTTCCACCCTCCAGAAACACCTTAGACTAGAGATGAAACTGGAGAACGCTACTCCCATACGTCAAAAGCCTTCTTCCGTTATCCTGACAGATCTGGGAAAAGCGAGGGTCATTTAACTTTTCACTTAAAACAGACCCTAGGCGAGTAGCGTCGGGCTGAAACCTTACAGTTCGTAAGCGGTCGGATTCGGGAGGAAGTGATGTTAGACAGCGTTGGAAGCAAGACACTCATATATACTGCTGGAGAAGTTAAATGCAACACTATGTGGGCCTCTAGATATTGCAGGTGTTGCATTTTACTTGGCTAGCAGTGTATTGAAATCGATAACATTTTTTAAAAACACTAAAATATCGATAAAAATGTGAGATAAGCCAAGGGCACAGGGGCTGTTCCCTAAATGCCACTTAATCGGCACAGGTTGTTAAAATCCGACCTCTGTGTCGTCAGATGGCGTAAACTCGATAGGAGGGCAAAATCGAGTCGGGAGTGAGCGAGCTAGTCGAGAGGCATCCGTTTTTCGAAGTGACGGCAGACAGGTTTAACATATAACAATAAGAAAGGTTTATTATATAACTACTAATTGAATACATATACAGGTTAAATAAGGCTAAATACAGCTAAATGCGATTACGATACAATTATTCTATTTCACCAGGATAGCGACTAATTTCTATTTCGAGAGAGAGTTTACAAATTTCTAACATACATAATACCTGTCAATAGTTGCAGGCAACGATCGTTGCTTCCTGGAATAGTCAGAGTCGCCGACATGTTTTCCAACCTGTTGTCTTCTCCTTGGGCTGGATCGACTCTGTTGAATGGAGGTCAGGGAGACGAAATGGGCACCATCACCAATTATAACTTCCAGTTTGATAGTGCCTCCAGCTTCTGGTAGCTCTCGCTTTAATCCTATTGTTTTGGGAAAGGGATCACGTGGTCGTCAAATGTTGACAATGACGAAACATTTTTGACAGCTAAGTGTCAACTTTTTTATCTGATTGTTATTAGAAACGGTGATCTAATTCCCAGAAAGAGCGTTTTTTCTATCAGATCTGTTTACAGTTAAATTTCTGACAACTGCGTGAAATTTTACAGAAATATGCATATTTCTTTTAAAAGTATATATGGAAAACACAATTATAAAATTAGAAACAACGATTTCAACATAAATAACGGTTGGAAAATAATACTGTTTCAATGCACTTATTTTCAGGCTTTTGGTAACAAAAAACTGAATTTTTTTAAGATTTTGATTGTTAATTTAAAGGAGTTAAATGGTTAATTAAATTAATTATAAAATCTTTAAAATATAAAATAATTAAAAAAGTCCTGTTTAGCTAACTTCAAAACTGTTTGTTATTTGCAATTCACAAGTGTTATTTTATTGTCGTTTAAACAGGTAAGCTGCCTACGAGTAACACCTACACACTACATCTGTAGCTTCTAACTGTAGACGAATTCGAAATTTATTAATGGCTTCTGTGTCCTATTCACAATCTGTTTGTCTTTTCTTACTTTCGAGAAAAGGGTTATGTGATCGGAGGGTTGGCACCTCTTCCATGCCTTGTAAGGATGACCACACTGTGTACGACACAGAAGTCGCGACAGCAAATTCGTTTATGTTATATTGAAATAGTAAACTGACGAAATGAGCAGGGCAGGTCAGAAATTTGCGAAAAGGTATCTTTTTCGACGTTGAGAACTTAATTAAAGGAAGATATACTCCTAAGAGTGAAAGTTGACAAAGTTATTATTAACAGCTTATGTTATTTAACTTGAAGTCCAGATTCACACAGTTATATAGCTGAAATCGCAACTTAGCTGAAACAAACGAGAATCACGTTATTACAATTCATAAATTTGTCCTGGAATGGTGTTAGGTAGATGACTGGCACGACTCTGTTGTTAAAGAAAAGGATGATGTAGACTAGGGATTCTCAAACGAGATCCCCGGATCCCGGTTGTTTTTTTAACCCGGGAAATCCAGCAAATTTCTTAAAACTTCACTTTTTTCTTATTTTGTGTTCGGGTTGAGGAAATTTTGCAAATAAAAAGTATAATTAACTCAAAAACGGTCAGAATACATTCATATTTATTCAATGCTACTTTTAAAACAGTCAAAGTACAGAAATCTAGAATACTGAAAAGCAAAAGAAGGACTACAACCTCGGAAACATCCTCCAGGCTACGGGTGAAGAAACACATAACACCCGTCTTTCATAAATGCATTAAAGACGATTCTACTCGCATAATTTGAATCGGAAAGGGCATTCTCGGTAGCGAGAATTAAACTTTTTATTAGTTAAATAAGAACCGGATCGACTGATCCGAGTATTTCTATATTTGCTTTTTAAAATCTTATTAGAAAAAAAAATTCAGATTTAGTTCATTCTACTTTTGGGAAAAATTATAAAGAATTATAAATTTCTATTTGTATCCTTGTATACTCGGACCTTGTTTACTAATAGAACTTATTATTCTGGTGTAGTTTTGGATTAGCAAATAAAGGAGAACTTACTTTAAAGTCAAAGGAAAGTGTCTTTACTTTTATCAGGTGAAAATAAAGAGATCGTTTTGACTTTTGAAGGGATCGATTTCACCGGGTGAAGTCGACCCCTTTTAATTTCTATTTATTTTCACTGACGACTTTTAAAAATTCACAAAACTTTAAACAACTATTTATGCAATTTATAAAAAAAAATCTGGGTCAAAGCAACCACCCACATCGGTTACCATGGTGATGAGACACCTTTGGAGTATACAAGTGTTCTCTGTTAACAGAATCTGAAAATTAAGAGGGTTACAACTTATTTATTTATTTAAGTGTTAATAAATTGCAGTATAAAATCTCAAATTTCGGCATCGTTTAATTATTAGACATGATTAAAATACGCTGTAATATATTTAGGAATGACAGAATAGTTGCCATCAGGATGCTTTGACCAAGACAATATAATAACGTTTTCCTATTTTGCTATTATGTATAGCCTAATAGGATAATTTACATTTGAATTCTACAAGGACGCCGACTTTTTATTCCCTACCGTCGGGATGGCTTAGGGTCTTTTCGTATGTGGGTGACGGTTTTGAGGAGGCAGGAAAGACGAGTGTTTCACAAAGAAACCGTTTATTTTTAACAAATACGCTTACGTAATATTATCAAGTTCCTGGGGTTCAAAGTTCTGTGAGTTGTCTTCGAATGACTCTTTTCTTTTGTTCGGATCCCACGCTGACAGGGCTCCGTAGCGGCGATACTTTAATGTTCGTAATCGGGCGATTCATCAGAAAAAACGATGAACGGACGTATGACGAGCGATGATACCAGTAAAACAACAGGTAGATTAGGGGAGGCCACTCTCTGTCTTTGACGATGGAGTTTTTATAAGTTTTTCGTGACCGAATCATCGTTAATTGGATGAAAATGTGCAATTATATATTTTCTTTAGACTTATTATTACTGGTGTGAAGTCCGCTAATCTGACGCAGTTGTCCGGGAGAAATGTAAACAACTCCGATTGAAAAAACGCTGCTAGTGAGAATTAGATCGAGGTCACCGTTTGTGATAACAATTAGATAGAAAAGTTGACATATAGGTGTCAAAAATGCACCGTTATTGTCAATATTTGACGGTCGTGTGACACTTTTCCCATGACAATCGAATAAAAGCTCGAGCACCCGAAAGCTCAGAGCGATCCAAAGGAAGTTATACTTCTCAATGTGCGCATCTCGTCTCCCGGACTTCTATACAACGAATCCGAACGGAAGAAAGGAGAAGATATTGGTAGAAGACAGACCATGGGTTCGAACTTCCACACTTATCGCCATACTACAGTTTATACGCCGGACTACGATTCCTACGAACCATTCGACGCATATCATTCGTTCCCTGATAGAGGTATTTTTATTAGAGCATTGTGAACTTTCTTTCTGAGGATAGGGTTTAGTTGATAAGAGCTGCCCCTTCGTAAATATTTAATCGCATTTAACCGACTTTGTTACCTTTAGATTTTATTAAATGCTTTGTCTATTTGTTTAACGTGTCTCCTCTCTCTCAAAGGACGCCTGTCGATTCGCTCATCTCCCTCGCCACTCGATAAAAACTCATCCGAAACGACAAAGTTGGCGAGTTTTATCCACTCGACTTGTAAGTGGCAATTAGGGTACTGACCTTGTGCCCTCGTATTCTCACACTCGTTTTATCAGGGGAACCGGAACTGCTTACCATAAAGTGTGAAAACATTTTGAACGTTTTTACAATGGCCGAAAATACAAAGAACTTCGTAGAAAATATCACTATTCGACATTTTTGTTACGATGTTTAATAATACTATCATTTAAATTAGATTTAGAACGAAACTTTTGTAAGCAATAAGTACACGAAAATGGCTTCTCCCCTGTGTGAGTTCGGAGATGTTTAATCAGAACATCCTTTCGTCTTCGTTTGTAACTTAAAAGGTTTTTCAGCAATGTGAGCCTTTACGTGGTTAAGTAGACTGCTAGAATAGTTAAACTGGCGATTAAAGAACTTGCGAGTGTCCTCCAGTGTCAACCCTTTGACAATACTTTAATCCGTTTTTCGAAATCAATTGGTTCAAATTTTTACGAAAATTTTTGAAAATAATCTAAAACGAAAGAGGATGAAACGAATATCTTCTTTTTAGCTTTGGAATCCTGTTTAGTTCTGTTAATTAATTAAAGAAAGGTCCAGAATTTAGAGAATCGAATAGGCTTTGTTTCGATTATTTTAATTTATCTACGCAAACATTTAGATGTACTGTACCTTAAATTGTTCTTTAATTTGACAGTTTCTAAATTATTACTGCTATTAGCTGTTTTCAATCATGACATCATAAAACACGTATTACACATAGAACAACAATACAATCAAATGAACTGATTCTACTTGGGAAAAAGTACTCATTGTTATGAATATATTATATTAAAATTTATCTTCAAATGGGTAGAAAAGTTAGTTACAATTGAGTATTTTAAATCAAATCCATGGTGAAAGCAGATTTGTGTCAATGTTTCTTATTCCTAAGTTCGAAATTTAAATAAGGATGAAGCGAGTTTATCTGAATGTCGACTTACGCACACGCCATCCTGTTTGGCAATTTCTTGCCAAGTTTGATCGTATTTGTTGTAAGTTATCGATAGATGGATAATAATAGAGGTATAAAAAAATCGTTTTCAAAAATTATTGGGCAGCAATTTGATATAAATTGTAGACATATAAATTTCCTCTGACTGTGTCCTTTCTTAATTTAATCTCCAGAATGGAAATAGGTAGATGAAAATCAAGACAAGACGGAGAAAATGTAAGGACGTAGGTCCTGATAAACTACACAGGAACGTCCCATACAAATCGAAAGTGACGTTATTTCAATTCAAACATTTCCCCCTGTAAGGAAATAGATAGAAGACGGCACGACTCTATTGCTACGGGAAAAGTACGATGTACAGAGGACAGCCACCACTAACATGAGGTAGAGAGCGTGCATTTTTAAATAAGTAAATTAAAAATAGGATTAAAAATTGCCGCCCGCACGGTGAGGTGACCACTGCAGAATAAATAATTACTCGTTTGTATATAACTTCTATGGAAAGTTTTAAAAATACTGCTTACTTCAGGATAAATATTTTAATTGTCGTCGAAATTTAAATAAGAAATTTATAATTTTACTTTTTAACTTTAAAAATATTTTTAAAAGAACTTGTGTGGAATTTATAACTGGAACAGATGCAAATGTCGCGCTGTTAATCTATGTGACGTCAAATCTGTACTTGTACATGGTTAAAATACAGGCCTATATATTAGTGCCATACAAGATAATCCGCCATTGCTAATTGAAGTTGCAAATTACGCATTCTACTTCTCAGCTACAAGTACAATCATGATGAAGTTCGTGCTGGCGTTTTTCATTTTAAGTACTTATTTATTCATTTTCTATTGCCGATTAGAAAAATTTGTTCTTTCTGAATATATTTCTGGCAAAGAATTTATTGTAAAATTTTCTTTAACATTAATTTTCATGTTTTAATCGTAATTTATTTTTTAAGGTTTAATTCCGAAACAACCCGGAAATTGTATGATAAATATTCCAATTAATGTCAACGTATTGACCTCTGGTATTAATTTACCTCAAACATTGTCTACTGTGTTGGAAGAATTCGGTCCCGTAAGTAAAAACTCTTAAATAATATAAATAATTAATACTATATAAAGTTTTAATACGCAATATTGTTATTTATTATAGAAACTTGGTTTATTCTTGCTGTTTCTAGGCAATAGCATTATGTACTAAATATAATATAATTCTTTGTAAGATAGATAATTTATGGATTTGTAATTGTTGTTTAATTAATTCCAGAATATTCATTATAAACTTTTGTATACCAAGATTATAAAAAACGTTTATGGGGTATTTTTGGGATGTAATTTCGTTGCGATTAAGGTATGTCATTAAAAGAAATCCTCGTCCATAATGGAGACGAAACCAGTTGGAACCATCATTATTTCGCATTAATTTAGAAAACGTATTACTAGCAAAAAAAATTTACGATAATTATTACAACATAATTAGTTTATAATTGTATTTTACGTCTTTTAAATTGAATCAAATACTATTATTCTAAAGACTTTCTGTTAACAGTTGATAAATCATTATTATTAATGAATTAAGTCTAAATTTTAATTAATGTTCTTCCAACAACTCTTTCTGTTGTTTGGAAAATTTTTATTATACGTATAATGTTAACAATTCTCTCCATTAACTAGAGATTCCACGCATAAATTTTGCAAATTTCAATGTTATTTGATATTTTCAGAATGCAAGGGTTGGGTTATTGAATTGTCTGAATTCGACCATTTTCCCTACACTCGAATGTAAGAATGAGACAAACAGCGGAAGTGACTGGCCTTCAATTCTTAAACTCATCCCGTGCGTGTTAAAGAAAATTTGTTTCGCTAATGATTCTGCTAGCGCAACCAGAGTGATAAGATGTATTACAGGAGTAGTTGGATATACAGGAGAAAATGTGATAGGTGTTGTTGGCAACCTGACAGATGATGTTCTCGAGAAATATTTAGATAACATATACGGATGTGTTTTTGGTATTTACACCAATATCCGTAATGGAGTTACCAATTGCAATTTTTTCGATGGCATTCAAGAGTTAAATGTTACTGCTATTGAAGAAAATCTAAAAAATAATCTTCTGTCCGATACCACGAGCAATTTGGAAAAGTTCTTCAAAATTCTTTTTGGAAACATGGATGAAAAATGTACCCTTTCCGGTTAATACGTCATGAATTATTCTTGATGTAAATTTACGATAAAGTAATAAAATATTAATTCAATTGTAATGCATACAAATATAGATTTCTGGCTGATTTCATTCTTTTTCAAGCAACATTTACATAATTGCTTGCAAAATATTTTAATCGGCTAAATAATGTTCTCGCGTCGCGTTTAACACTGAATTATCGAGATCCGATGGAACAACTACTACGTTAAAACGTGGAACAACTACTACGTTAAAACGTAGTAGTTGTTCCATGAGTACATGCAAGTGTGACGATCCAAAACCCTTTTATTTTAGAACAATATCATTTTTCTAATAAACTTCGTGATTAGGTAAAAAGGGAAAGAGAGGGAGGGACTTCTGCGGTTAATGACCGAGATGATCTCCTCGAAAAAAATCGTTAGTATATCAATAAACGAAATCTTTTCCATTTGTTTAAAGGTAATTCTATAGACGTTAATATCAACAAGACGGGAATAAGGGATGTTTTTACCCCCTCTTTGGTTGCACGTGACACGTGGTTACGGCAATAAATCGCCTCCTTCGTAGTCAAACGCGACGTTTGATATAAACAATATCTAGATAGTTGACCAGGTTAAAGAAATTATTGTCAGATGAATGTTAATTTATGGATGAGAGCCGTCAAACCTATAGAAATTTATATTATAAAATCATATCTTCTAGACACTGATAGCAATAAATCAAACGAACTTCTCTGTGTCAATTGTCAGTACAAGCTAGGTCTAGACATCAACACACGAACAGGTGTGCGCATAGATCATTAATGATGTCATAGTCCTCACCCCCTCAAAAATAGTATAAAGAGGATTTGGACGCAGTCCACAGGGCGGCCATTCCCAAAAGGCGGACATTCACAAGAGGGACATTCACAAGGCGGACATCGACTGCCACATCTACTGACCAATACCGCCATACTGCCGTGACGATCCAGGAACGTTTTTACCAACGACCCATATTACGGATCGGGAACTTAGAGATATTTGTTTTTGGATATCTATTTGTATACTCTCTCTCTGCGAATCCTCCCTCTGAGAAATCTCTCTTCTAGAGATCTCTCTCTCGTCTCCTAACTTAGAGAATAGAGATTAGATGTTTCATATGAAAGACGAATCATTGTCGCGACATAGAATAGAATTTTTGTAGATCTTCACCTTAGCCTTTGATATGTACAATTTTAAAGTTGTTTATTAAATGTGTTATTTTTGTTCAACCTGTGTATTCATTTGGGAACCTGTCAACTTACTCACTGACCTTCCCACTCAATTTTATTTTGCCCTCCTATAAAGCCATCCTCTGACAGAGCCGCCGGTAAGTGGGGACAACTAACCTCCTCGGTTCTCACACAAGTGTATGCGGGGCTCATTCGATGAGTGGCGTGCGTGTTCCACTTTTCGGCACTCGGAAACAAAATGTAGTGTAAGCGGACGACAGAACCCTTCGAGTCGGTGATTCTGACGTCACCTGTATTATTCTGGAAACACGGAAAACCATTTTACTTCCGCGCGCCTTTATATGGTACTGAGAGTAAAACGATGAGACATAGAATCCCCTCAGCAATTTACTCAACAAGAAAATTATACACGAACGAGCAATTATTAATTGCGACGTTATGACAATTTTTAAAATTTATATTAAATGTCTACTTTTATGAGCTACATCCGTTATGATTTTTGAAAATTTATGGAGTTTTTCTCAGTTTTATATAATTTTTTTAAATTTTAGGCATTTAAGATTTTTTATAACCTGCCAATCAAATTGGAGAAAAAGTAATGGAGACGTGACGTCAGCGTTGTTATTACTCCAACTAAGACCTCGTCCTTCCCAACCCACGTGACTAGAAAGGTGTGAAGGTCGCTTGTTGTTCTATTTTCTGTAGAAGTGACGTAATCAATGTAAATAAAAAAACATTTCTCTGTTTAAATTAACACTCGAATATTAAAACAGTTTAAAATATTAGCAAAATGCCAAATAATCTTCATTTACGTATATAATATATTTAAATCGATATAAAATATGCTTATTTCTTTTAAAAGTATGTATGAAAAACATATTTATAAAATTAGAATAAGGTATTTTATATGCATAAAAATAGCAACGTTCGACAAGAACACTGTTTCGACGCTCTTATTTTCAGAATTTTGGTGGCCAAAAAAACTGGAAAAGTGTTTTATTTATTCTTTTAATTTTTACTGTTAATTTAAAGAAGTCGTAAACAAAATTAATTATAAAACTTTAAAATATAAAATAATTAAGAAAAGTCCTTTCTAACTAACTTCAAAACCGTTTGTTATTTGTAATTCGCAAGTGTTATTTTATTGTCGTTCAAACAGGTAAGCTACTACGAGTAACACCTACACATTACATCTGCAGCTTTTGTTAACTACAGACGAATGCAAAATTTATTAATGGCTTCTGTATCCTATTCTTAGTCTGTTTGTCTTTTCTTAATTTCGAGAAAAGGATTATGTGATTGAAAGGTTGGAACCTCTTCCATGCCTTAGTAAGGATGACCGCACTGTGTTTTTTCGAGACAGAAGTCGCCACAGCAAATTCGTTTATGTTATATTGAAATAGTAAAATGACGAAATGAGCAGGGCAAATCAGAAATTCGCGAAAAAGCGTCTTTTTCGAAGGTGAGAACTTAAGGAAGATATACTCCCAGTTGTGAACGTAGATAAAGTTATTATTAACAAGTTATGTTGTTTAATTTCAAGTCCGGATTCTCACAGTTATCGCCTTTAGCTGAAATCGGAACTTCCTGCCTGTAAGTTTCCGTACCTGGTCACCGATTCACATCTGAAATAAACCAGAAGTCACGTTATTACAATTTATAAATTTGTCCTGGAATGGTGTTAGGTAGATGACCGGCACGACTCTGTTGTTAAAGGAAAAGTATGATGTAGACTAGGGTTTCTCAAACAGGATCCCGGGATCCCGGTTGTTTTTTTAACCCGGGAAATTTTTCTCATCCCGGGAAATCCAGCAAATTTCTTAAAAATTCACTTTTTTCTTATTTTGTGTTCGGGTTGAGGAAATTTTGCAAATAAAAAGTATAATTAACTCATAAACTGTCAGAATACATTTGTAAAATTCGCGAATCTGACGCAGTTGTTGAAAAAAAATGTAAAAAACTCCGACAGAAAAAACGCTCCTAATGAGAATTAGATAGGAGGTCACCGTTTGTGATAACAACTAGATGAAAAAGTTGACTCATAGGTGTCAAAGTGCACCGTTATTGTCAACATTTGACGATCGTGTGACTCCTTCCCACCACTATCGAATAAAAGCTCGAGCCCCCCTGGAAAGTTCAGGGCGATCCAGAGGAAGTTATACTTGTCAATGTGCTCATCTCGTCTCCCGGACCTCCATACAACGAACCGGAACGGAAGAAAGGAGAAGATATCGGTAGAAGACAGACCACGGCTTCGAACTTCCATACTTATCGCCATACTACAGTTCCTCGCCGGACTACGATTCCTACAAACCATTCGACGCATATCATTCGTTTCCTCGTAGAGGTATTTTTACTAGAGCATTATGAAGTCTCTGTCTATCTCCGAGAATAAGCTGAGCTGCTAAGAGCTGCCTTTAATTATATTTGTCTAATATTTAATCGCATTTAACCGACTTTGTTAACCTTAGTTATTCAATAAATGCTTTGTTATTTTTGTTAAACTTGTCTCCCTGTCTATCAAAGGACGCCTGACCACTCGCTTACCTCCCTCGCCATTCGATAAGAAAACCATCCGAAACGACAACGTGAGCTGTTCTTGGAGACTGTTGCCGAGTAAGTGGAAGGGAGAAATTAACTAAAGAACAAATTAACAATGAACAATATATAAAATTAGATAATAATCCATATGAAAAAATAAGTGTCAGGGATTAATCCTTGGCCCACGGAATCTTACAATTTGGTGTCACGAGTAGAATGAAGCAAATATCCAGGCTTTCGACAGGTTATTTCATAATAGACCGTGTCCGTCAAAAACAAGTTTGTCCGCCGAAGACAGGTTTATTTCGAAGAAATAAATTTAAATGATTCTAGCATATATTAGCGTAAGCGTGGAAGGAAAAAACCCTACGGCAGTTTTAGGTAGAGTATCCGAATTTTTCGACACGCTAGGAGACGTAGCAAAGCTAGAGGCATGGACAGAAGCGCAAACGTTGGCGGTACCCAAAATGAAACTTACAAGTATTGTTCGGGAAATTGTTCGAAAGAACCGGCGGATCAAGCCAGTGGAAGATTATGATGAGTTCAAGAGGATCATGATAGAGCGATTCGAACAAGTGCCTTTCTCCATTCGATTAAATAAATTCTACGCTTGCGTACAGGGCCCAAATGAGAATGTCCAAACGTACGCTATGCGCTTGCAAGCCCTTACGGCCGAAATTGAAATTCCCCAAGAGGAAGCAGATGTGGCTGAAACCGCAATGATCAAGCGCATACAAGCCAAAGAGTTAGAAGTTAGATGAACGCCTGTATGCTGTTCTTGAATGGCATAGATCTTAAAATCAGACTGCGATCAAGTCGTCCTCGCTTAGAAAAGACCAGCTATACAGAATAAGCGATTATCATTCGACTTCCTACCCTCGCCCACGATGAAATAGGCCACTCGCGCATATCTAGTGCATAGACAACGACGAGCCGGATTTCTCCTCCGAGGATGAGGACAGATGGAGAGAGACCATTCGGACTACGACAGCTCGAACAATGCGTAACTCAGTAGTTCTATGTTACATTAATAACAGTCCAGTCAAATTCCCCATAGATCCAGAACTTAGTGACACGTTCGTGTCTATTGAAGTTGCCAATCAGCTCAAAAGAAAGGCGCCAGTTAAATTTGAAACCAAAAGGAAGATAGCGGGTTCGAATGGAGAATCCGTCTCAACCATAAGCATGGCGGTTCCCATCTTTAAATTTCGGGGACACAAGTTATCCGAGACTTGCAGAATCGTCCGATCGGAAATCACCTCTTATTGTGAGGGGATAATAGGTCGAGACTTGATAATGATAAAAGGCTTCATTCTGGATTATGCGAACGAACAAATT